CGGGGGGTGCGGCCGCGCCCGCCAGCCCCAACGCGCGCTCTAACAACTACCGCGCGCGCGGCTCCAACAACAACTTCAACGCACGCGGTAACTTCAGAGGTACTCAACAAACACACGCGCTCGCTTCTTCTTACACGTTTACACGTTACATTTGTCTATATCTCTACAATAATATATTTGTACCTAACCAATGTAAGCAAATTACCTTTAGCTCTTGGGCAGATTACAAATTGTAATCCTAACTGGAAACTTGTGTTCGACTACAAAAAAAATGATGTAAAATTGATAATGTTATTTGAATTAACAGGAGCGCGCGGGCGCGGCTTCGGAGGTCGCGGCGGTGCGTTCCCGCGCGGAGGCTTCGCCCCCGTCAACACGTACATGCCGCCACAGCCCTTCATGGGCCGTCCGGTAAGCTGCACCATTTTATTACGAAAATAATTGCATGAGTAATGAATTAATTAACTGCACTACAAACATAGAACAAGTGTAAACTGTTACACTTTTAACTTTATCGTACTTGGTGTCTTGCATCTGTCATTAAGTTTTTCCGCTTTAAATTCATACTCTGCTTAATGTAAATTACAAATTAAATTTACAATGGCTTTTGATCTTCAATTATATTCCATTGTCAAAACGGGCTTTTTTATTTTTGACTTTTTTAATTTATAATTTTGTTAACTGTAAAAACTGTATTTTTTTGCTAGTTTTTTTTTTAATACGCTTAACAATATATAATTTGCATGTTTAATTCTAATTTAATCAGAAAGGAATGCATAGAAAAATGTGCAAAGAAATGCAGTGTAATTGAAATAAATTGTCCGAGTGTTTGTTATGTCTGCTCTCTTTGCCGTTAATATATTCTGTGCATTCTTTTCAGAGCTACCCGTAACCTATGTACATGCAGATTTAGCAAAGGTAAACAGGTGCAGGGGCCGACATACACGGACTCATTCACATTAATTAATAAGGCCACATACATTTTTAATGTACTGCGGGTTTGTGTATGGTGAATAGCTAATTGTTAAATGTCGATTGTTAGAAATTATCCGTGTATGGCGACCCTCATATTCAGTTTTTAAAGTATGGTTAAAGCCAAATTATAGTTTTATGTAGTTCATGTTTACATTATTATTGTAGAAACTTTCACTATATAGAATTTAATTTTATATTTTAACTTTATAAATAAAATTGATGCTTTCCAGTTATTAAAATATTAAAGCCAGTCCCGTAGACATGTTTAGAACTTGTTTATAAAACAATTATAAATTTCATGGTCAGCATCGCCTATTGATTACTGGGTTACTTTTATTTTTTGATTAAATAATTGATATAATAGGCATATTCCTAATAAAATACGTCAATATAGTAATTTTTTTTAAAACTAACTGTTATGGGGATCCCAGTCATTTTAATTATTTCTTTACCGTAAAATACTTTCCATTTAATTACCTATCAAGTCAAATTTATAAAGTTGTAGAAAAAGTTAATATTAAATGTAAAAATGGTAAATATTTCAGGGCGGCTTCATGAACGACGGTCAGCGGCCGAACAAACGGCTGCGGCAGATGTAACGCGGCCTGCCCTAGGTCCCGCGGGCCGTGCAGTGCGCGTGTCGTGCAGTGCGCGTGTCGTGCCCGCGTCGTGTCGTGTCGGTGTCGTGCGCGTGACGTACGCCTTGTGTCGTGTGTGTGTGTGAGCGTCCTACAGACTACAGTGACATGTCGCAGTATCAGATAAATCTAGCTAATTGTATTTACTCTTAAGTACACCAGATAATGTAATTGTAAAACTTACTGTCTTTTGACATGTAATAAATATGTACTAACATTCAAATGTGCCTTTTATTCTTACTTGTATATCTCTAATTATATTTATATAAGAAATATATGTTTCTAACAAGGTTTCTGTACTCTATTAAAACATGAAACAAAGCTTATAAAATTTACGTAAAGAAAAAAATGGCGCTTACAATAATGTCGTAAGACCTATCGAAGATAAATGATTATACAGAAGAAATACAAGTAAAGCATTTGCTTACACTTTTCATGTCGTGTTTGAATAAATTAAAAGGCAAATGAACATCGATTAACGTTGCTGCGATTTTAGAAATTATCGTCTGCACGAAAGAATCGCTTGTCTATATGAATTAACTTCTTAGATGATTTCCCGCGCGAGCGAGCGATCTCTTTATTGAAGTTGACGACCGCCAACTGGCCGCACGTGTTGCCTTTTGTCCTTAGTTTTTAGATGAAAAAATGGTTAAAGCGGTCATTGTTTTTTTAATTTTTCTTGTGTCAGTATCTGTGGTGCAAACTGGCCACAATGTGGGATATTCAAAAAAAGAATCTCATTTGAAATCGAGCAAAAGCGCGCGAACTCGTAGTGACATTTTTGAAAATTTGTTTATTATCTATGATGCGACTTTTTTGTCCTTGGTATGGTCAAAGATAATAAATGGAGTGCATGTGAACGTTGACCACGGGTGCTGGAATGATTTGAGCGCGCTTTACAAAGCGCTGGTAGAAGGCCGGGCTTGGGCGTACAACAGTAAGTAAAAAAATATCACAAATTTATATACCTTATAATTACAAGGTAAATATTTAACTAATATTCATTCATACTTATTTGTTTATTATTCCTTCGTATAAGAATAATTGGAAAATTTAGAAAAACGCCGTGACTGTTAATTTGGAGTTGATGAGCCCCTAAATTTTTTGCGTAAAAGAATAAAATAAAATTTAAAGGTCTGTTTTATGAAAATTATTTAAAACTGCGTCATATCCCCAGCAGATATATCTTTATAATAAACTATATGCGTTTAAAAATGAAGAAAAATACTGCGGTTTATAAAATCTTGTGCGCCGACCCATAAGTCCAGGGAGATGATACATGTGTGTACTTATATATTCTTATGTGATATCATTTCCATAATATCGACGGACTAATTTTACGCGCAATCAACGACTAAAATTGCACTTTGCCTACGAAATATACGCTGTAAGGTTAATAGAATAAAGATTATATTCGTGTACTCGATTTCAACAATAAATCAGAGAGAGCTCTCGATTATTTACGATCGATAAAAAAGCAATGAAAGCGAATTCATTTGAGTATTCATTGTCTTTTTTCAAGTATTACGTGTGGTTACATTTAACGAGCTATTTGTTTTTCTGTTTTATTATCTCTGTTTCATTAATTGATCAGTTTAGTAACCCGTAGTATTATAGTAGTAGAGAAATAAATTAAATACAAAATGACCCATCAAGACACTTAGTCTAGTAGACAATAGTCTAGTCTAGAGTCTAGACTATTACGCTATAGTGACTACAAGACATTGGGTCGTTGGTTCAAATTCGCCAATCGTACTCAATTACCTCTGTTGGTTAATAGAAAGAATCAGTAAAGTTTTTTTTTTCCATAAATTTGAGACATTTGTTAAATAAGTTTTTATTTTAGCTGTGGATGCATCAGGAAGATACCAATCTGGTTTCTTTCAAGGAAACCGTCTATGGCTCGGATCTAAAGATGAATGCTTTCGATTGGTAAGTTTGTATTGTGCTTATTTAGCATTCCGATTTCAAAATAACATGTGGAAGAAAAAAAAAATACTTTTATCTACTATCATCTTATTTAATCTTGTTTGTTTGCTATATTTTTTTTAGGACCAAAAATATAAATCGAATGCGGAGCTGCATCACGGCAATGGATTTGTCCGACGAGAAAGGGATTTCAATGATCGTAAGTTTATTAAGCAATAAGCTTGTTTAACATTCACATAAACCAATGTAGAAAGAATAAACTATAGACTTTTTTCGATAGATTCACACGTATGGCCAAGCTATGATGGAAAGGGAGCATTGACACAAACCTCATCTGACGACATACCCACCCACCGACTTGCCTATGTTACTGTGCAAATTTCTCTTAATATTACAAAGTTTCAAGTCCCTAAGGTAATGGCATTATTTCTCTTTGTGCTATTTAGGAATTATTCTATTCTATCTAATGTCATCTTTCCTTTTACAGCTATACGATATAGTTCTTGGTCTATGTCTGCCTCGATCATGTTCACCCGAGGACGTGGAATCCCTCGTAAAGTTTTCAATAATGCTAAACGATAATTTAAAATCAAATGGAACAATACCCAGGACTGTTAAAATTACGTCACTGAGACATATCGAAGAGAATTACGATGTTAAATACGACACTGGAGCGGTACTTTTAATACTTGTTACAATAATTCTACTAGCATTAGCTATTATAGCAACAATTGTTGATTATGGTTTTATAAATTGTATAAAAAGCCAAACTGGAATGTTGACTATAGATAAATATAAATATGATCTAAATAAAGAGAGATATGACGAACAAATACATAAACAGTGTGAACTAGTTAAAGTTTTTGTGGATTTAAAAAGAGAGAAATCAACAAATAACAAAGAAAATATTAAATTGAATAAAGATATTTTACAAACGATGAATACAGAAGCAATGAAAAAATCAGTTAAGGGAAATGGAGCTCCAACGCTAGATGTGATGACAACAGAGAGACAGCTGGCTAGTTGCAAGCGATGTGGAAAATACAGGAAACAAAATGAACCACCAAAGCATATGGCCACTTTGCCCACGTGTCCCCGACAATACAAAACATGTGCCAGTCTGACTAACACGGAGTACAGAAAAAGAGACAGTCTCTTTTTAAATTTGCTCCTAAGTTTCTCTCTAAAACACAATTGTAAAAGTATTTTCAATACAACGATGGCTAATCAAGATTTAGCTGTAGTACATTTGTTGAGGATTTTTTCTACATTTTGGATAATATTTATTCACGTGTGTATGTTAGTCAGCTATCTCACAGGTAAATCAATGTAAGTAAAGAAATAACTTACAACTTGATAGATTTTAATAAGCAATATATTTTGCAGAAAATACAAATTCAAATGGATGGATGGGGAGTTATCCTATATTGACAACGGGGACTTTGGCTTTTGATACCTTAATATTTGCAAGGTAAGTTAGATGGAGTACAATATGCACACGGAATTTTTTTCATATTGTTATCGTAGTTTCTAATTATGAAATTGCTTGTCAACAGTGGTATATTTAGTGCACACCACTTTTTCTACTTGTCGAGTCGGTACACGCTTCGCGAGTTGGTCAGCTGCGGCGGTAACTGCGGGAAACTCTTCCAATTTGTCTGCTTCGTCACCAATAGAGCTGTGAGGTGTGTCTTTACTTTTATTTCCCACACTTATAAAAAACTTTGGAGTGTTTCTGTATCGTTTTCTTTTCGCTTTTTTATTTTAAGAAGGTTGTGTTTTCTCAGCAGATTACTACCGCCGTATGCGTACACAATATTCCTGACTGCGGTCCTGTCCCGAGTGTCACGCGACACGCAGCCCGTTACATTCCCGGAACAGGATCACAACTGCGATGTGAATTGGTGGAGAAACTTGTTGTACATAACTTTATTTTATCCACAAGAGAAACAGGTACGATTACGTTTTCTATTCCTTACCACTTCTCTGCTTAAGTTATCGGCAATTATAGCTTCTCGTTTTTTAGATCTAAAATATTTAATTTTAGCAACATTAAATATTTTTGCTGTTTTTTTCATTATTTTTCAAGATCGAAGATGTTATATTAAATTGAACACTAAAGAATATCCCTTTAGAGTGAATTTTATCATATTATAAGGACTGTTTAACGGCCCTAAGTGCGTCAGTTCTTTTTTTTATGTGCGCAAATATTGATTGATCTACAATAAACGTGTGTTGCTATCAGTGCATGCAGATATGTTGGTACTTGTCGACGGAGACGTCGCTGCACGCGTGCGGCGCGCTGTTGTGCGCGGTGCTGGTGCGGCGGCGGCGCTCCGCTCTGCTGCTGCTGAACCTTGTGCTGCTGGCTGCTGTCGGATCTGACGTCTTCACAGCATTCGCTGATTACCACAGGCGGTAAGCTCTTTTATATAAATTGGATTCATTATTGTATTTTAAGTTGGCAGTGTAGTATTTTTTTGTTTTCGTAATATTGTAAACATGTTATCAATTTGATATGAATAAAACTTTGACAGGGGCTTTTGCCTAAACACTAGGGGTGAAGTTGAGAGCAGAATAACGCCGCTAATAAAGAAAACAAAATTGTGAACATATTATTCCAGGTACAGTAACGTATTTGAAGCGTATTACTACATCATAAACCGACCCTTGAGCCGCGCGGCGCCCTACCTGGTGGGCGTGTTGGCCGGCTGGATGATACACAAGGCTGACGGCAGGATATCCGTCTCCAGAGTTAGTTCATTGTCAAATTGTTCACTAAATTTGCAAATCAAATTCATCACACATTAAAACTTTACGCATATGTTAACTCTTTTCAAATATAAGTGAATTTGGTATGGAAATAAAGATCGACGTTGATTGGCACGTCGTGAACAAGAGTAATGTTCTAGTTGAGGCGCCAACATATCGGAGGTTTGCGTTGTAGATGACGCGGTGTTGCCTGTGGTGTGCGTCAGTGAGCGCGGCGGTGACGTCAGCGGTGACGTCAGAGAGCGTGCGTCACTGGGCGTGCGCGTGGCTGCACGTGACGTGGCCGCTCGCGCTGCTCTGGCCCGCGCTCGTCTGCTCCACCGACCATGCCGGTCAATATCTCTTGCTAATATTATATATGCGAATGTTTACATGGATGGCTTTTTGTTAGAACGTTTCTGCAGAACGCCTCGATCTCGATGAAATGTGGCACAGACGTAGAACATAGTCTGGAAGGACACATAGGCTACTAATTTAGTTATTTTTTAAATTCCGCGCGGACGGAGTAGCGGGTCACGGGTAGTATTATATAAATATTTTTCAAGAGGAAGCTAAAAAAATTCTAAATTCGTCGATATAGGCCTCGAATTTAAGTATCGTAAGACTGGTATTTATATTTTTGTTTATAACTGTTGTAACAATAGCATGGAGTCGTGTCGTGGTATCGTGCGGCGGTGTGGCGGCGCTGAGCCGGCTGAGCTACAGCGCGCTGCTGGTGCACGGCGCCGCCGCGCGCTGGCTGGTGCTGCGAGCCGCGCCCGCACTCTGCACACACACCGCGTGCATCGTATGTAACACTAAATTGAAAACTTGCTTATTTTTTAGAGGATATTATCGCTATAGTCTGTACTAAGCCACGCCTCCGACTGGCATAATGTGAACAACAACGTCCATGACAAGTTAACACGACTGTGTTACTGGCAGTAACTCCTAGTTCTAACCGAGATGTTACTACCAGTGGTCGTACTTCGCGGGCACACTGATGGTGTCGGTTGCGGGCGCGCTGGTGCTGGCGTTGCTGCTGGAGCTGCCTGCCTGCTGCCTGCTGCGTCGCATCTGTGACTACGCCTACTCATGACCTTATCTTTGTTAATTACCACTTATACGTAAAGTACAATAAAGTTTTAATATAACATTGATAGTCTTATTTTTCATTTAACATAGAATCGTATTAATATTATAAATGCGAATGTTTGAATTGATGTCTGTCAGAAGGTTGGAGTAGATGTAGAACATAACCTTTAAGAACACATAAGCTACTTATTAAGCTTTTTTTAATTCCGCGATGACGGAGTCGCGGGGAACAACTAGTAAGATTAAATGGGTTCACTAAAAAGTTAAATAAAACATCATTTATATATTTGTGTTAAATGCAATTGTTTAAAATTATTCAATAGATTCACGATTGTGATTAGTAAATAAAACGCTATATTTACTTTAATTTTTATTAGAAATGTTGTCCTATAAAAAAGAATAATATTTACATCTTATTTACATAAAGTTATTACATAAGTATACAGAAATATTTACAAACAAACATACCATTTATATTGTCTATATGCATATCAAATATCTACAAGATTGTCTTCATGTCATTCATACTTTTGCAAGGAAAAATATAATTTATTTCTTATATTATAAAATATTCACATTTTCAATTTAAACTTTTGTACTGGATATATTTACACCATATTTGTTATCTCTGTTTTGTCAAAGATAATGACAGGGATGACGATATGTTCTATACAGAGATTTTGGTCTCGGAAACCTACGGTAGATGGTATCAAAACAGATTTTTACGCTAATCAGTAGATCAGACTATTTTAATTCAAATATTTCTGTTTTTCTTCAATATTATTATTTCTCAAACATAACCAAATCTTTCATAATATCTTAATTTAATATTATAACATATTTTTGTACAGTCTTATAACTATGCGTTGTAATTTGTGACCGGACGATTTTTAAAGCGCGCGTTTTAAAACGCCAAGTGTGTACACGGCATTATTTTGTAAGGTCTGTATTAGATGTATGAGTGACATACATTAAAATGATTAACTTGTGAAGTTAAATTAGTTATTGAGAGAGCATTGTTCATAACTTCCATACATTTACATTCATTTTAAAAAGTTTCCAATAAAATTATTTTTTTTATTTTAACACTGGCTAAAAATATTTTATTTCTATTTATTTTGAAACTGTTATAATTAAGTGTTTTTTTTAAATCTTAGGTCTGTAACTTATATATAATTAAAATATTATTTTGTAAATTATAATCACATTTAAAATGATTAACGTAACTAAGAATTCCTCACATTTTCGTTTGTGATCAAGTTGTAAAAAATAGTTAAATAAAGCAATAGAATATTGTTGCTCACAACTGTTGTTTTTAAATCAAGATTTTTATACATTAAACTTAGCCATCATCCTTAGACTTAGACTTTTTACTTTAATTTGATTAAAACTTTGAATTTATAGTTAAAATTCCAGTTTCCTCATTCCAGTCTTTATGTGAAAGGAGTATACTTCAAACTCTATGGGGTTTCTTCTGCGGCGCGAGGATCTTCAGCATGGTCACGATGGGAGCCTCGAATGCCACCGAGATGACGAATGCGAAGAAATATGACATCACTGTCAAACCCAGGAACAACACGAACTGCACACACAGATGTTACAACCATGTTAATATTTTAACAATTACTCTTACGTTATTTGTGTTGACTAACCGTGAGTTTCTGACCCAAAAATCTTTGTATAAAACATATCGTCATCCCTGTCATTATCTTTGACAAAACAGAGATAACAATATACATTTTCAACGAAGATTTTAGTCTCAGAAAGTCACAGTTAGATATATTGTAAATTGAAATGGTTATAGATTATAGAAAAATTAAAAAAAGTACGGGATTGGACCAAGTTACTTGTATTAGTGTTTTTATAAAGAAAAATTTCAATGTGTTACTACTGAGAAGAAAACATAGAGAGATATCTCTGGATATCGTTAATTATGTGGGCTGTTAGCTATTTTTACTTCTTTTTTTAATATTAAAAAATATAATATATGTATGAACTGACGACGAGCAGCTCGCCGAGGTGTATGGGATGTGTGAGGTGCATGGCGACGTAGCGCAGCACCACCGGGTGCACCAGGTACGCGCAGTACGTCACGCGGGAGAACGGGTACAGCACCGGCGCCGACAGCAGACCTCGCACCCACCCTGAACACACACCACATCTTACCTGAGTGTCACTAGCTCACTAGGAAATATTCATCTAAATGTCTTTTCCCATTCATTTTACAAAAAGAAGGTCTCAACTTTAAAATAAACAAAATAGCTAGAAAAAAAGAGGATATAATATAATTTCAAAATGAGTAGAGAACTATATTCTAGGACTTTATCAGGTCAGCAGTCAGAGCTCAATCTCAATCAGAGCTGGTTGAGTACATGAATGAGTGGAGGCGGTACCTCCATGTCCCGTGGAGCAAGCGATGATGATCCATCCGATGCAGGCGGCCCAGAGCGAGTGCGAGAGCGCGCTGTATGCGGCGGCCGCGCCCACACTCAGCTCCACCCGGTACAGACCGAAGATCAGGAACAGCAGCGTGCCCGCGCACACCACCCAGCCCACGTACGACCATATCTGAACCAGAACATACAAACCATACCGTTAAGTCAGCCATGTCGTAATCTTTAGGGTGGTCCAATCTTCCAGTCTGGTGTCAAGCTGCAGGTACATGGAAGAATATATCCCTTTGGGAATATCTCCTACTTTAAACAGTAACAAAAAGTAATTCATAGGCAAGTTTTATTTTATCACCACTTTTGGTTAAAGGAAATTTTTGTTTTATGAGTTAAAAGTACCAATAGATCGAATATGATCGTACCCTATTCATTCTAATTTTCAAGTTAGTCTTGAAGAGTATCCAGCCGGTGGCCATGCCGACGAGGTAGGGCCCGAGTCGTGTCCAGGGCTTGTCGTAGATCTTGTCGAACTGCGTGAAGGGATCCTCAGTGCTGGGCACGTGCTCGCTGCTCCAAGATACATAACCTGTGGTGGCCAGCGACGACAGGAAGAACACGCCTGTCAGACCCACTGACAACTTGAAGTGGCTGATAAAGATAAAAAGTCACAGTTAAGATTTTTTCCATTTACTTTAGCCTTGGATTTCAAGTAAGATTGTAATGGATTATTACCTTGTTGCTAAAATGAGTAAAATAGCGCTGACTGCATAGAATTGTGTGTCATCAGACAGGTACCAACTCCACAACATGCACTGGAGCAAAAACAAATAATTGTCAACATCAAAGTCAATATGCACCAAATATTCATAAAATACACCGTTTGAAAACACATCGTAAGTATTTTTAGCTATTAAAAGTGGAAATATTCGATGTGGCTTTAATTCTCTTTGTTTCATTGTTGCTTACCATTTGGTCGACAGGGAATAGAGTGTTGATGTAGAGGAGGTTCCGCCACCAGAACTGCGGGCAGGTCTCGTGGTCTGGTGCCGGCGGCTCAAACACCGCGTTGTGCGCGAACCATTTCATCGTCACCTCCACCACGCCCAACATGAACAGGTACGGAGCCGTCAATCTATACACAACATTGAGATATTATAGAGTCACTAGACAAAGTTAAAAATATATGATTAGGGGTTGAAGATTTTGAATTCAAAATATTTATAGGTGTCATTTCAATTAAAATTGTTTCCTAGCTTACATCTAGCATATTATCCACTTTTTTTCTAAAATATTGGAAAAAGTATCAAAATCCACAAGTAAACTAACCTGGCAAATCTATATCCAATGAGTCCGAAGAATTGTATGACTCCGGAGGTGAGGGTCCGACGGCCCTTCGTCAGCAGGTCCAGCTTGCCTTTAGCACTCGTACGGAAGTACAGGAAGGACACGAGCATACCACTGCAAGAAAATTCAAAAACTAAATCAGTAAATACAATTTCTAATGTTGCTTTAGACTATAGATAAAAACATAGCTGGATGATGTAAGGTAAAATATAATGGAGATGAGACTTTACCCGAGACAGAAAAACGTATCAACGCTGTACACTGCGCTGATGATGAGTTGGAACCAGAAGCTCTTCTCGAGAATAGCGCGCAGTGCGGTGTTGTCTGCGTACTGGAATTACATACACATATTCACTATTTATTGAACATGAACACAACAGACACACACAAATAATTAAAAATGGCGATATGCCACTCAAAATATAACCAATAGTAAAATCATATTTTTGGGGCTACAAGTGAACAAATCCATGGTGATACTCCAATAATTACTGGCCGATAACATTTACGTGAGTGATATTATGTATATATAAGAAAAACAACTGCCGCAAGTAGTTATACCTTGAAGACGACGATGCAGGTGTGACCAAAGATGACCCAGACCATGGAGAGTGAGCGCAGGCCGTGCACCACGGGCACCGTGTCCGCGCCCACAGACTGGTCGAAGATCTGCAGCACGTTCGCCTTCATGGAGAACGACAGCAGCAGCTCCGACCATATACCTGCTCGTACGAGAAATAAATGTTGTATAGTAGTTGTTCATCATCATCTTGTATTTTACCCTATGTAGAATGTAGGTACACTTCTATTCATCTCTTTCAGTCCTCATATCTGTCACCAATTCAATTGATTCACACTTTCTTAGATCTTCTCTCTTTGAAGCCATTGGGTATCTGGCTCTCTCGTTGTAATCTGCTGAATGTGGTAGTAAGATTTCGTTTGGATTCTAAGTCTGATTAATGTACTGACTGAGCTTGATGTGTCCATCTTGCGAGGCAGTCTCCGCGGTGAGTCGCTCCTCCGACGTGTTGCTGCTGATCGCTATGTTGTTATTCACGTTGTACATAGACTTGCCTGAAACAATTTCCTTAGTTATTTGTCTTTTATTATCTTACTAACTATCTCCCCTCCCTCCCTGCGACTCCGTCCGCGTGGAGTTAAAAAACTTTAAATATAGTTTCTGTCAGTTTTAATATTTCCGTCAAGGGACTTACCGCCGACGTGTGTGATGGCATCCAGCGTGCTGATATCAAGCTTGTGGTCGTTGTGCGCGGTGTCAGCGGCCATGTTGGCTGCGTGCCGGCGTCTGCGCACAGCACGACCCAGCCGCATGTCGTACACTGTTGCTGACACAAGCAGCGCGCCCACCAGGCAGCATACTCCTCTGCAATATGTACATGACTTCAGTGTTCGGTGATTGCCATTTAGTGAAGTAGATAAGAAAACGTTGAGGCCTGGAAGCTTTATTGGAAGACAATATGTTTCTGTCATGTCAACAATATAACATTATTAGCTATCGCTCGTGACTCCGTCCGCACGGAATTAAAAACCCCATTTAGTAGCCTATGTGTTTTGTAGGATCCGTTTAGCCGTTCTGGAGATACCTTCAAACAAATATCCATCCATCCAAACATTCGCATTTATAATATTAGTATGAAGTATGATTTGTCACAAGCGTGTAGATAATATACTTAATTAGTATGTTAGTGTTAGTGTTGCATCACTTGTTAAGATGCGATCTATTGCGCCTAGTTCTGTTCATTATTCTTACTAAAATGTATTTCACAATTGCGTGCAATTTAATCGTAAATTATATTATAGTTGAGGCGAATGCGGTGGTCGTTGAGGTCTGTGTGGCCTGGATATTAAGGTATTTCGTCAGTACGTTGCAACGTTACAGGTAATTTTATGTTATAAGTTGTTTGCTTCCAATTATTAGGATAATTTATCTCGCAGATACAAAAATTGTTAGCAATTTATTTTAATTAATTTCATATTTACAGCCAATAATTTAACAACTATAAAAATAGAGTACCGTAAATGATACACCTGTCTCCCAAAAATACTTTAATAAAATAAGTCTACTCAGATGATGATGTCAACGCAGAGTATGGTTAAATGAAGTTTTGGCACAAACTCGATCGGTGTTTGGCCACCACAGCAGCAATAGTAGTCAGTCACCATACTTACAACAAAACCTGGAATGTGGGGTCTGCCATGTAGGTGTACCCGCCGTGTTGGGGCGAGCGCACCGCCAGCACGGTATGACGCAGCGCCGGCGACCTCACCGCGCTCAGCAGCGCGCCAACCTGTTCCCGCGAGCACGAGTACGGCAGGCATAGACCCAGATGAAGAGTCCGACGCTGGAATAAACGGTGCCTAGTTAGGGTACAAGAGAGCGTAGAATTATTACACTTGTGTATTATTCAACAATTTCAGCGTTTTGAGTGCGTTCGTTGATAGCACCAGTAGGTAGAGTATGGACGTAGCCGCAGTCTAAATCCTGCTTACAGTTTTGATGAGTTGGTGCTGGTCTGTGGTGATGAGAAGGCGCGCGTTGTAGAATGCGGTGGCGAAAGGAGGCCCGGAGCCAGACATCGACACGTCGTCACGCCACTCCGCCAAGATGGAGCCGTCGCTCTCTGCAACAAAATGATATACGTATTTATTTTGACAAGTATACCTGGTAGATAAAGGAAATTTCTGTTTTTTTCCATTAAAGTTTTAACCTGTGTTTTAATCGTATGTCTCATCATACTTTCTAGAATTATTGCTGCAGTGAGTTGATAAGATCGTGTTGTTCTGTTAATTACAGAAAATCAAAATATCACTGTAATATTTATAGATGTTTCATAATAAAAGAAAACCCTATCAAAACATTACTTAATAAGTGAAGTGACTCAGAGACTTATAAACACGTCGAGGCGAACGTGTTCATTTCTCGAGTGCGGATCTGACCGAATTCTACGGTTAGATAACACCGATGTATGCAATACTCGAGGTCGCCGCATATTTTTGTTTTGGCCACCAACACTTCTTTTTAACCTACAGAAATGCAAGTCATGCTTTTCTAGGAGCAGAGAAGCTGTTGCAGAATTCTTGCTGTATTTGATAAACCACCCATGAATTGTTATGACTAAGATTTTCGAAAGTTAAGTTCGGCGGTCTTCCTTTCTCATTTTTATATCCTTTCTTGTTTACTTCTACTGTTTACTAAACACAGGCACATGAGTAACATGTGGTGAGTTACTTTTTGTCTACTTTTAATGCAAATATCAAATACGCTCGTATAATTCGGGGCTTAGTTGTTGATATCTTTATGTTTTGTATGATATCTGTGTATGGATATATCTACATGGCTTTATAACTTAATTAGATAGAATTAAAGCCACTACTCAAAGGGTAATTGAGCAGTTTGTCCTTAGCCGCGCCTTGAGAAGTGACGGGCAACAAATTGGGTTGCCTTTACAACGGTAACTGGACGGATAGCGTACATTAAAACAATCGCTGACCGAGATTTGTGTTTACTCGTAGACTGAATATAAAAAAGAGAAGGGTTCAGTGACCGTATTCCAAGTTAGATTGTTACAAATTTTATTCAATAGATTTTTTCAAGCTAAAGGATTATGTTAACCTCTTTGTTTAAGCCTCAGTCCCAAATCTTATTTGATTTTCGATCATTTTGTGTCCTTAAACGTAAGAAAGGTTTAACGTTTTTGGTACTGCATATACATTTCTTGACTTTTGCGGCTTGTTTTGTTTTATCATCTCTAATTAATGTTTATTTGTACTCACTGTTGTATAGCTTCGCTGGACTGACATCGTGCTGTTCGTTGAGCACTTGGCAGAGCTCGGCGGAGCCCGTCCAGTAGTTATTGCCCCAATAGAACATTGATGTGTATCGTCCGCTCGCGTCCTCCACTGCAAATAAAAGTTAAATTATAATTTGATAGATAGATATATAACTATTATATAATATTATATCGAGACTTTTGTTAATGACATATTATGGAGTCCAAAAATACCTAACCAATTTTACGAACTAAATTTATATTTAAATATTCAAAGTTCGTTTTTTTCGACCTTGGTGCGAATTGTTTTTAGTCTGTGAGTTATTTATGAGTGTATAATTTAGCTTCAGGCGCAGTAAGGTGAAATCGTTTAATCCCGTCATTTAGGAAATAAACCTTCCGATGACATTTAACCAGTAATTTTGGGGTCAAGGTTCAAGTAAATTGGTGGCAGCTGGGTGGCCAGTATTGTCCAGTCAAAATAAATCAGCTTCACAATAACAATTATTTTAACGACAGTCTTGTTTATCGATTTAAACAATTAACGGTAGATTTTCACTGTCGAAACACCGATGTAAAAACATAATAGCATCCCTCTCTTTATATTGCCACAGTAAGAACATTATATTTAATACGTGTATTTGCAAATAAACCGCATCTAGGTTTATTCAGCATGTTAATTAGTACAATGGGTGATTATCCGTTCCAAAGATTTTTCGAACGTAGTATTTATCTTTGTTAGAACTTCAACCTAATTGATTTTGAGATGTACCTATGTTTTATAATGTTTATTGTTATTTAACATTACAGAAGCATTTTTGCTATGCAACAGTAGACAAGGAGGTTATACTGTTTCATCATAATTAACTATCATGTTTGCATCACTAAAACAGATCATTATTTCGTTAATATATTGATAAAGCTATTAAACAGATTTATATCTATGCAGCAATTAAGCTTTTGCTTGATATTAATGCTTTTAATAACTCAAAATAATACGAAAGGTCGTGGCTGTACAAAAAGAAATGCTATTTTAAGTCCGTGTCAAGTCTTTAAGGTTCAAGGTGAGTGACAGTCGAGAGCGTTGTTCCGTACCATACGGAAGCAACAGACTTCCTGTGCTTCTGAGGAAATTGCTTCCTTACCGCCGTAATCATAGTCATCCAGTACGAGGAACATATAGTCTGTGACGACTAATGATGCGTTGTCGTTGGATTTAAAAATTGTAGGTTATTTTATAAGCATTATTTCTACTAAAAATAAACGAAGATTATACTATGTTTGTAATGAAATTCATAAGACTTTTGATTAATGAAATCTGCCAAATTCGAGAAGTTAAGCCAAAGACTTACTTAGTGAAGCTTTAGGGTAACCTAGTTTTAGTTTATCATCATCAGCTCACTATACGTCCCCACCGAAGGGCTTGGAGCCTACCCTAAGTTAAGGGTGATTAGGCCATAGTCAACCACGCTGGCCAAGTGCGGGTTGGTTGACTTCACACATATCTTTGAATTTCTTCTCAGATATGTGCAGGTTGCATCACGATGTTTTCCTTCACCGTAAGAACGTCGGATAAATGTACATACCTAAATCGGAAATCGAAAAACACATTGGTACATGGCGGGATTCGAACCCAGGACCTGCAGATTGCAAGTCAAGTGCTTGACCACTGAGCCACCGACGCTTCTAGTTTGTAACCTCAGTATATGATGTAGTGCTCTAGCTATAGATTAATAAATAAAAACATTGTACATATGATCATTTAATATGTAGATGCACTCAGTCCCCTCATTATCGATTTGCAACACGCGCTGCATCCGCGAAACGAATGCAGCAATCTCCCGAGAGGCGGGCCACACAGCTCACGTGTCGAAATTCGCCTCACAATGTCCCCTCTGACATCCCACAACGAATAAACATTTAAATTGAAACATTTTGTATATTATAACTTAAAATTTGGAGAAATTAAGTACATAAATAATTAAATATAGTTATTATGGGGAAAATATATATAATAATTCATGATTTAGCATTGATAGAGACTGGTAACTTTTTATAATCGATTAATTCAAGTAATTCAAATAATTTTTCGGAGTAATATTAGAAGTTAATACGACTTACTGTCGTACAAAGATCATTAATAGATATAGTATGAGAAATCTAAAGTAACCGGGCTACTCTGAGTTCAGCAGACGTAGTGTTTAATTCAAGCGAGCTTTGATCGAACATTTGTTCATGTATGAAGATTTGTAAACTAAATCGTAACCCATCAATGGTCGTTTACATTCCCAGTGAGCCGAGGCCGGGTCTATCGATTTGCAAATAGACCTTATGTTGTTGTAATACTATGCAACACTCAGTACATGACACCGTTTCATAATTTGCGATAAACAAACTAAGGATAGAAGATTTTATTATAATATGATTCGTGTTTCAACTTTAAGTGCTTTACAATTGAGGCAATCGCAATCTGCACTGCATATAAACAAAAACATAAATTGTCCTCCCTCTTATATCTCTTTGAAAAAGTATATATAACTTTAAGTTTGTGACATCCAATCTATATAATAGATAAGATTTAGAACCACAAATCTAGTTTTTCAGCAAGTTTGGCAAATCTTGTTTATCACCGTTACTTGCATTTAACAGCACTATGACTGACATTTGTGTACAGTGACAGGTGACAAATGTATCATTAGTGACGTGCGCTGACGCAACACGTCAACGGTGTCAGCACGAGAGGCGGGCTGTCACATTTCTATATCGTGTAACTTTCGCATTTGCCGCGCAAAAAGGCGACCTCAAGAATATGTGTATAAAATATTTGTTTTTTTTTCCACAAAATATTTTGTCGTATCTTTTGAAAATTAGCTACTCACGAATTGAATAATTTACACACCATAGACAACTACGTAAATTAATTTTCAATTCTACTTGGATGATTTGCAGTTTTTTTTGTTATTTAAAAACCAGCCAGAAATATATTGAGAAATGTTCACATAGATATCACACCAAGATTGTTTTAGTTTTTTTCCTTTCTTCATATGGATAATACTGGATAAAGAAAAACAAAAAGAAATAGATTGAATAAGCTTTCTGTCAATGCCAACTGGCCTAAAAAACAAATGTATAAAATATTTTAACGAGTTTAATATTATACGAGAAATATTTTTAATTTTCTTTAGTCGTGACCAAAATATTATAATAAAATTTTTGCATTAACTTTTTTCAAAACTCCATTCAAATGGCCGAACTTATAAATTATTGAATATTCTAGAAACATTTAATGGTAATAATAATTTTTGAGTGCTTATGAATTTTACATTAACAAAATACATTTTCTTTATATTTACTTTAGTAGTTAAGTTTTCTTTATTTTTAGATAGTTATTCCGAAGATTCGAGAAAAAAAACTTTGTTCCGCTATTAAAAACATCATCTGATCATTTAACTCGATAGAATAAAAATGTCCTTATGACGAAAAGAATAAATTTTTATTTGTAGACATTAGTATAATAAAAGAAATCTTAACATTCAAGGAGTATAAATTTTACTGGTATGGCGGCGTGGTGATGGTGTCATGGCGTCACGGCGTGCGCACTGGGCAGTAGGCACGCACCATGCCCGCTACGCACCGGTTGTGACGGAAGACCTCTGTTTACTTTGTATGGTTCAAACGACAAGCGAATCATTTAAAATAAAACGTATTGCTCATGTATGAAAGATTAGCTCGCCGAGCATGTGGATGGCTCTGAATGTGTCAATATTAAGTGACCCGCTCTTTTCGACCGACGATAGCTTATAACTTGGGTCGCAGAGAAGTTGACAGCCGTGTGGTGAGTTGTGCAAGAATACTGGGGCGCACTTTCACTGCGCGTGACGTTGCGGCAGAGTTGCCATACGCACACCATACGAGCGAACACGTGTACACCATTAGCATTTTTATACTTGATACCAGTAGTGGATAGGTTACTCTTACATAAAATGGCGAAGGTTCGAACATAGGTACAATCTTAGTCGGTTTTTATAAAATAACGCTTCAATGTCTTTGAACTTGGTTAAAAAAAAAACTCTATACAAATATGACATTATTATCAACTAATAAATCAAGATGGGACGGTTTTATGGTTAGCATGAAACCGTAAATTGATTTAAAAAAAATCGACACAAAAATATTTTGTTGTCTCTGACAAGTACTTAAACCGTGCAAGCGGCATGAGAATGAAAAAATAAATGACTGGCTACTGTAAGAAGGAAGTTCATAAAAATTAGGAAAGCGACGACGAGAAGGGATTGTGGGACAGGATCGATGACCGAACCGGTTTCTATAAAAACTATATGAAGGTACACATTCCTTTCTATTCACACGAAAGCTTTTGAAAAGACGATCAGAATGATATCAAAGAATGTTGGGCAGTTGATTATAGGGACATGAGCTGTTGGAATTTTTATATCTATAGATAAGTTCCGGATTACATTTTAATGGATTAACCTAATTAAAAAGTTACTTTATAATGACCATTACTAGACTCCGCGTTACTAACATTTATTCAGTTTTAGCGTGCTGTAGTAAAAACTTGTACGTATCAAGTCTAACTTATAGCATAACAAACCCGGGAGAAGATCTACTACTACTGTCTTTCTTCTGTTTAAACATAAGACAGACGTTACTTCGATTACGTGACAATATAATTTGCCCTAGAGAAATCAGAGCAGGTCCCTGACCTTTGCTACAGTTGCATTCTAACTAAGAAAGGTCAAACAGATGCAGGTGATTTTATATGTATTATTATAGTATAAATTGTAAAATATTTATTCTGTGTTTGCGTAGAACAAAAAATTGTTATGATATTAAACATTTAATTTGCATTGACCTTAATTCTGACAAGTTAATGGACGTTACATTAACACTTAAACTAATTTTCAATGCCTCAAAATATCAGGACAGCTTTTTTGTTATACTTAATACGAGTAAAATGTTTTTAATTTTGATATATGTTATATAAATTTACTGTAGTGTCCTCCGTGATACGTGAAGGCGATATGGGGTCCACGGCTCGTTACACCTCGTTGCTACCCCTTATTACTTGATTTACGAATAACGTCTCTTAAGTAGTAAACATATAGACTATAATACTGTGCAAAGCTTTGAAAGGCTTATTAACACCGATTTAGCGTCGTTACTCCTAAAGGTGAACTGTACATTTCTTTCGACATTTCAATTTTTTACATAGAAAATTAAAAAAGGAAACAGTTTCATCATTTGTAAAACATGATGTAGCATTGTTTCGTACCTTCTCAAAATGTTTTAACATTATGACCAAATCAATAATGAATAATAAAAATGTCAAATATAACTGTATCGCAACCCCAGACCAAAATGGCGTGGGTCAATAACAAATGAACTAACCCCTTATTAACTTAATGATAGGAAAATTCTTTTAAATCTAGCCCGGCAACAATTTATTAATATTCTTTGATTAAATAGATAAACCATAGACAATATTTGACCTGCTAATGGTATTCGTAAATATAAAACAGTTTGCGTTTAATGACTGCGCGATATTTCGCAATGCAAATAATTTCCTACTTATGTTTAATGTTCGCGGGCTTCGAAATGACAACCTTACGCAATAACATGCCGTCTCTTTCGCACTTATTGAACTGTGAACTAGCGTCTCTCTCGCTGACCTGGTTCATTCAGCTTTCTTGTCGTCATTTTAAAGAACTTCAATCAAATAAAAGTTTTTTTTTTTTTTAACTGAAGGTCATATCTATATTGTAGTTAGTAATCGTAGTGTTGTAGTCAAGTGATTATACTTTATCGTGTATATTAATGAATAAATTAAGCAAAGCGTGATTGATATCGATATGTGAATTGGACGTGTAGGCAGTGCGAACAGATGACGTTGCCTTTTTCATGTTATTACGTAGGTATTAAAAAATATTTACATACTAGCTGTGCCCACGACTTCGTCCGTGTGAAATACTGTCTTTAAGTTGCGCGGGGTACTGGAAAATAATTTGACATTGCAAGGCTACTTTATTTTTCTAAAATAAACATAGCCTAAGTTCCTTTTTATTACATCAGCTACCTGGCAATAATAGTCCCAATAAAATCGGTCCAGCTTTTTCAGAGATTAGCCGGAACAAACAGACAGACAAAAATTGAAAAAAGTTTTGGTGTGTGTCGTAAAAATGTTATTTCAATATAACAAACAGATACTCCAATTTTATTTATATATATAGATGTATAGATTATCATTCATAAAAACATATTCTTTACCGGAACAAGATTTCATATAACTTCGAACACTTTTGGGTCATCATGTGACATTCGGAAGTGACCTGGTCATCAATATTTTCTCTGAACAGAGACAATGATGATGCAAGCCGCACCGCAGCGCCACCACCGGTTGTTTTGGTTATTAACAATTACGTAAGCAAACCGCGCGTACCAGCTCTCGCAAAAACTGATCATTACGCAAAATAATGACACACACCGCAATATGAGGGGAATTTATAATTTACATCTTAAGATACCTATGTATACAAATATAACCATTTTGCTAGCTTCGAAGCAGTAGTTTATCGTCTTCATTTGCAACTAATCTTTTTTGTATCCTTGCATCGAATTGTAACATTAATTTCATGTCCTTTATATTTTAGTAAATAATTGTTGTTTGAAAAGAGTTCTCCTCAAGAATTATATAGAAAAATTCTTTACCTACCACTTGTTATTTCGTAGATCGCCAAGGAAAAGTGCGAAAAATAAATATTTTTCTTGTGCAATTCTGACGTTATTCTGAGTTGTATCTTTATAATTATTTTGTGAGATGTTTGTTTTTTTTGAAGACGTCGGTGGCTCAGTGGTCAAGCACTTGACTTGCAATCTGCAGGTCCTGGGTTCGAATCCCGCCATGTACCAATGTGTTTTTCGATTTCCGATTTACATATGTACATTTATTCGACGTTCTTACGGTGAAGGAAAACATCGTGATGCAACCTGCACATATCTGAGAAGAAATTCAAAGATATGTGTGAAGTCAACCAACCCGCACTAGGCCAGCGTGGTTGACTATGGCCTAATCACCCTTAACTTAGGGTAGGCTCCGAGCTTCTCGATGGGGACGTATAGTGAGCTGATGATGATTGTTTTTTTTAATTGCGTTATAATAGTGCAAAGGATTAAATTTTTTTTATTGTTTCTGTATGACTTCATTTATTACGATCATTAAAAATTGTTGTTCCTACATAAACGTTATTAATCATTAAGGATATAGATATATCTCTTTAACAAATAACAAACAACTGTTTATTACGCATAAACTATTAATAACAAACAGATGAATTCTAAGGAAAAATAATTGAACCTTGTTATGATGGTCAACTTCACTTTCTCAATGTAACATTGTCACGATGTTACCTTCGTTGGTGATGCTGCGATGGCACGGACGAGCTTACAACTAGCAACTGACATAATGTAGCTTGTCGTTAACAATATATTGAAATGGCATTTTTATAACACTACCTGTGGCCCTCGATTCCGCGCGGCTATGTTCTACTTATATGCCAAATTACAGCGAGATCCATGCAGCCGTTCTAGAGATACCTTCTAACATCCATCCATCCATCAAAACAATTGAATTTATAATTTTAGTAAGATTGTAGCTGTAGTTATATTTACCTGAAAGTACCAGGGCCTCATAGAATAATGAGGTTCATTTAAAAGAATTTTTAATTGAGCCTAATGCAATATTGCATGATGCAGTATGTAAGCATAAGCAATGATTAAATAATTTAGACAATACGTGGTTCCCACGCACATTCCGACGACTTTCAATTCAAGGGTTGTCTACATACCTGAATAAAAAATAAACAACATTTAAATATGTATAGTAAAAACATTATTATGTGTAGTTAAGTGTCAAAAATACGAAGAATATTATTCGAAGTTTATGAAACAATCGAAAAAAAACAGTTCGATTTTAAAAAACTTCAATTATTATACTTATTGTTCTCCTAGCTCGTTATACATATTTTTAGAAGGTCAGTTATCTTTGAAGGTCAGTTCTGAACCATGGAATCAGTAAGTTTGCTCATGAATATCTAAGTTTATAATAGATTATATTACAATATTTCGTATTGTTAAACAATAAAGCTATTGACAGCCCTAGCATTAACACCGGCGTTGGCAATTAATGCAATTGTACGCTTGGTCGGAAGCAATAATTATGTATGAAATAATCAATTCAACTCAAGGAAAATGTCAAGTGCATCGCATCGCTGTTGTCTATGAGTACTATCGCTTAAGATGTTTACACACGAAAGAATTATTGCTTAACCAATTTATTCAACAATTAAGGTGTTATTACCGCACTCAGATTAATTGAGAGCTAAGGGATAAGGAGGGGGAAGAGGGAGAGGATGAGAAGAATTAAGAGATCGTTTAAAAAAATAGTTTCTCAAACTGCTCATTATAAAAGCGTTGAAATTTATAATGCAATGTTTAAACAACTGTATCCTATATGGCGGGCACGAGTTTAACATGATTTGGCTTGTGAAACTTGTCGGCAGCGGCGTAGCGAAACATCGGACAGATATGGTGAGTGAAATGCGTCTAGTTTTCCCGCATCCTGTGCGAACGCATTACGCAGCCGCATGCCCTGTGGCGCAAGGCCTGGCCCTGCCCTAGCCCTTACCACACCTAAACTTCCAGTGTGACAGCTTTTTGTTACGTGTCTATGCTAGTGATTTGTTGAGTAAACGAACTTGTATCTACGAAATCACACAAACAGATATCTGTTTTCTAACAATATTATGTTTTCAGAAAAAAAATTGTCTTTCTTAGAATTGGCGTATATGAAAATTAAAGCTAAAGTTAGCCATGTTTGAGTCTAAAGATCGGCTTGATTCCAGTTAGAAATTACAAAATAAAACCAAAAATAAATATTAGGCTTCGTGAACCTTCTATGAATATCCTTTTTTAAATAAACATCTTTTTGAGCTCATAAATTGCTCGATACGACGCAAGCACGCGTCGGCGTTCGCAAATATATTCACCAAACAATTCACATAATGTACAGTCAGCGTCATATAGATCGGCACAGACAAGATATGCAAATATATAGGTACACCAAAAGTATTCAATTATATCGGTACAACAAAAGTCCTCAAAATAATAGATACATTCACCCTGCTCAAATACATCGGTACATACACAGCGTCAAATATATGAGTACATGCAAGATGCTCATAAATATCGTAGCAGCCACAGCGTCATAAGTAACGAAGCAGTCAAGGTGCGCAAAAATATCGGTACATTTGACAAAATTGAACTCTATCTCTATATACTTGTGATACAATTTGGAATAAACTACTTCTGTTACATTCATTTGACACTTTGCATCAAACCATTTTTCAAAATTTACTAAGAGTGTTCGACGCGGATGACAGATATTAGGTAGATAAAACCAACATCAAATTTAAGTTTGTCATCATATATGCTAGTTTGGTCTCGTGGCCTTACCGTTCGCCGCCGTTGGTACGTAAGGTCGGCGGTTCAAATCCTAAGCCACTTTTTTTTTGATATTTAAACTTTTTAATTTTAATATCGAAGCACATGTAATTAAATTCTATCGCCGTAGTTATTAGGTACTTTTTGATATTGCCTTAGACTAATGAGTTTGACCGTTAAAGTACTTTTCTATTTCAAACAAATATGAAGGAGATAAAGCGATGCTATTGGCATGTAATTTGTTTATTACTCATGTTTGTTAAACTTGTACCGGTAAAAATAACACTTTTACTTTTACCTTTTACTGATACTGATTATATTTAAGAAACAAAGAAAAAAAACTGAATGTCAATATCCAAACTACATCAAATTTTTGGTCGATTGCAACAAACATTCCAGTGTGCGTGGGCGCGCACACATATGTAGATAACACTTGTACGTATAGTTTCCGTGCGTACCATTCTTAAAACCCGCAAAGACAATCCACGCTCCGCCCACTCACTTCACCCGCGATGGTCTGACCTAATTGTTGTTAACTTTATTTAAATTTCTTTCTACCCGACAGCGAAAATTATAAAAAAAAATTGTCGAGCAAAATTTTACATTACCAAATTTTTACTGGTTATGAAAAAATAACCCCGTGATTGATAAAATGAAAAAAAAGTAGCCTGAGATTCGAACCGGTAAACCTACATATTACGGCAAACATACTAGAATACTGCGCCAATCTAGTATTATATATATTGTGACAAGGCAAAATTTGATATTAGTTAATACGTATCTGTCATATTCGGCGTGACAATCTTGTATATTTAAGCGTTATGACAGGAGAAGAAAAATATTGGGTTGCCCAGTAAGTTCCTGCCGCTTTATAATGAAAATTGAAACCCTGTTCTCTTAAATTTTTGGAAATGTTTTTAAATTATATTGGTACGACTCTATACCTAAAACGTCTTTTATTATTGGATAAAATTTTAAAAATTAGTTTTTAACTCAACCAATGAAATGAAATTATTCACAATATAGAAATTTTTGTGACGTTTGATAATGGTGGAAATCCGAAAATGAATCCACTTCAGCTACAGTCTATTTTAAGCTTTATATCGAAAATCAGAACGAACTTTCCGGACAACCTATAATGTTAATACAAAGTGTCAAATGAAAGTAACAGAAGTAGTTTATTCCAAATTGTATCACAAGTATATAGAGATAGAGTTCAATTTTGTCAAATGTACCGATATTTTTGCGCACCTTGACTGCTTCGTTACTTATGACGCTGTGGCTGCTACGATATTTATGAGCATCTTGCATGTACTCATATATTTGACGCTCTGTATGTACCGATGTATTTGAGCAGGGTGAATGTATCTATTATTTTGAGGACTTTTGTTGTACCGATATAATTGAATACTTTTGGTGTACCTATATATTTGCATATCTTGTCTGTGACGATCTATATGACGCTGACTGTACAGGAAATATCTACTTGCGTTATATATTCTTTGTAAATAATATTGTAAAGGTCATATAATTTGTTAAATAAATAAAAGGATGATCGTGGGATTAGTAAATAGTGAGCGTAACATGGACTATTAAATATTCAAGTCTTTTAAATGTGTGTGTAACTTAGTAACTATGGATATGATTGTGTTCAAGTAAAAAATAACATAAGACAAAAATTAACACTGCCGATACCTAAGTCGAAAGTATAAATCAATGTTTAACACGTTGAGCGCCACGTCAGCCATCGGTGGCTGACACTAGATTTTCTGTTTAGGTCGCGTCAACCATCGGTGGCTGACAGCGTAACATGAGGACTATAAAATTATACACTATTTTGCGTTCAAAATGTAAACTATTTTGTACTGCGATCGGAAACACCGGCCCTTTAATACCAGTGCGTATAAGCGGCGCTCGTGGCCTGAACGGGATTGTCTTAGAAATACGCGTGGCGCTCAACATGTTAATATTTATATTACTTACATATTTTAGTAGGCCTTGTATTAAAATGTCATGTCTATTTAATCTTTGCAATCAATGTGGTTGATTCCGTTTTTCTAGAGATCTTTGTTTCTCTGTTTGTAATTTAGTTTCCGTAAGTTCAACGGCCCGACTTATCCTTGTATTTACTCTCCACTTTCATCACGCATGTATTGAGGCTGTTGACGTGAAGTGAATGAAGTTTAAAACTGAAGCCTCACGGATCAACAACTAAGCTTCGCAATTGAGAGATTAGTGTAGATTTAATATTTGTTAACCGTGAACCATCTTTTACTGAAGTTTTTAAAATGCGATAAAAGATAAAAGAACAATTTTCAAAAAGCAGAATTAATGATGAGTAAATACGAAATTGAGAAATGATTTCAGTTTGCTTAAATAATAGATAATTTACCTTTCGTGAATATTTTTTTTTACCTCACAATAAAATATTAAGTGTCGTGACGTATCCGTTGGTAAGATTGTGCAGAATTATATCACTTAGCAACATCCATGAGAGTTTTGGGACTTTCTCTTTTATATTTTTGTCGAGCGATATCGTCTCATGTTACGTCAACGAACCTTCCTTTTTGAATGTAAACGTTTAAAACTGTTCCCACTTGACACCTCTCTCTATGCGTTATCTGTGGTTTGCAAAATGCGCGCGCAAAATGTCAAATGTCACAATACCGTTCGGAAACAAGTCAAACAATAACTATTGTAATGCAAAGAAAGTTTGTTTGTATGCATTATATTATTACTTACTAGCAAATTATAATTATTTATTATAGGAAAAATCATGTGTTTAAATATATTGTTATAATAAGACAGTTTGTAAGAATAAAGCGGCCATTTAATATTGCTTTCAGATTACGTGGGAAATGGAATGGACAACGGTCGGCCGGAAATGAAAGGAAACATCTTAGATAATCGAGATATCAATAAAGGAAGTAAGGACTCACAATCTCGTGCATGAAATCGTACGATTGGATTACTATTGGTAATAATGACGTAAATAGTAAGGCCTTTTTTTTTTTTAAGAGGGGGAATGCGTTACGCATACCGGATGCCTCGGGGAAAGCCACTCCGGTTATGTGGGACTCTCTCCACATCCCTAAAGGGACAAGGAGCCTACCCACTAAACCCCCTCTGGTTCCCTCGACTCACTGTTTACCGGGGTGTGGGCACATGTGAATACTCTTCGCACACATAAATAGTAAGGCCTAATCGAGAGTTGATTTTCGTAATCTTGTTTTGTTTTGTAAATTATAATCATGATAGTCATGTCATTTAAAACTGCAAGGTTTGTTTTTACTCGCATTTCATTATTATTTAATGAACTTTTACATTTATTCAAACAAGCAAACCATTTTTCGCCATTTACGTAACTTGAATACAAATGGAGATATTAAACAGATATTATTTTATCTTTTACATTAATTTCTTTTTAAAATAGGCTATAAGAAATGCAGTTCACTGGCTGCAGCGATCTGATAGTGTGGTCTAGATGGCAGCACACGCGCAACGCGTTACATAACCTCATCGTTTGCGGACGAAGATGGACATTGCGAAATATTAGTAGAAATTTAGCCTGAAGGTCGCCGTGGCGCAAGTCTGCATCGGTGTATTGACAATTGGGACATGTCTGTACAACACCAATAGCAATGGAATTCAATGTTTGTTTATACTACGAAATATGAAACAATAACAATAATTTACTAATAGAGTAAGAAATATCTTGTGTGATGCTGATAGTCAAAGAATAGGATTAGTAGAAAAGGCTGGAAGTATCTGCAGGTTGTTGTGTAAACAAAGGGATACAGGCTAGAACTTTGGTAAACTTCTAAAAAAAACAACTCACTTTTAGTAAATTCGATTTTAGATACAATTTAAATTATTCAATAACGTCCATCTATGGGTCCTAATCCGTGAGTTCAGAACTATTATTTTAGTAAAGGAGATGTCGACCATCTAAGGTGCATTGTTTCAATTTCGTGACTCGAAAAAAAAAATGATTGCCTTGAATTTAATTCATTGTATTGTAATTAGGACACTTTTGTGTATAGTCGGCCTTTGTTTTACATGACGCAAAAGTTGAATCTCTTTTTGGTGTTGACTTAAACACTAGCTCGTTAGTTATAGCAGAAATAAATATTTAGTATTAATAAATAGTAACTTTTCTATTTAAAAACTTGATTATTGTTATATTATATAATTAACATGATTATTTCAAATCGTTTTGCATACGATTATCGTTAACAAAGTGCGACCGAAAACAAATATATAACTTTCTAATTATTGAACGCGACGCGGAAAGCAAATAAGGCAGACATGAGGTTTCACAACAAATGTCTTGTGTTTAACACATGTTACGTCTACAACACATTGCCAAATGTTGGTCAAACAGTTATGGGTAAAAATGATACTGTTTTTGGTAGAAATATTTGTCGAGAATAACTGTCAACTTAGCAAAGCCACGTTAGATTACGAATATGGTTATTTACAGTTCACGCATGATTTGTTGTGTATGAAGGTGTGAGATGATGCACCAGACGCTTTAAAAAATTACTAATAGTGTTTACACTTCTGCTAAACAGACAAGTACCGCAAGAAGAATAAGAAATTAATTGCCAATTCATTCAAAGTTTTATTAAGCTTGTTTTATATTGTTAAAAGCTTTTCAAATTATCACACAACATAGAATATTCTGCAATTCGGAAGTCGTTTTCATCGTCGTGCTCGGAACCTACCCTATCTTAGGGGTTACTAGGCCATAGTCAACTACGCTGGCTTAGTGCGAGTTGGTTGACTTCACACATATCTTTGAATTTCTTCGCAGTGCGGGTTAAATCACGATATTTTCCTTCACCGTAAGAACGACCGAAAGTACATATGAAAATCGTAAATGGAAAAACACATTGGTACATGGCGGGATTTGAACTCAGGATCTGCAGATTACAAGTCACGTGCTTAACCCCTGAATCACCGATTCCGTTCCAAGTCAATCGAAATAATCACAGTCACAATAAGAGCTTGCTCTATACTTGGTACTTAACTTAATACTTCTTTCATAACACAGTTTGCTCGGACAGTTTAAATAATAGACTATTGGTAACCGGTCATTCCGGAAAGTTCATATTCATGTTACATTTATTTTTATGAATAAGTCATAATAATTAACGTCTGACTTTACGTTTTTAAGGTTAAGTAAAATAAACATCTTCGTTATTTATGGGACTTGGAGATTATAGATTTCATAACATATCTGTAATTTATATTTTATTTTCTTATTTTAAGAATATTATATATATGATAGCCTAGCCTATAACACGGCTAGCAAAGAAAACTTATGTAAAAATTTAGATTTATAATATTATTCCAAGAAATATAGGGACATTTCTTAAACTGTAAGATAATCAAAATAACTTTCTGTAGATTGACTTCATAATTCACTGAATGTTTTAGTTGGATATGTAGCTCCTTACATTTTTCATTAAGAACATTTTTCGGTCTACATAATACGACAATATTTAACTAATACAATGAGTTAATGTAAGAGAAACGTTAACTATGAAAATAGATTGTCCGATTATTCAACAAACGCGACCCAGTTGAAAAGTTTCAAGTTGGCATTACGCAACTTAATGGATACAGACTTCATTAACTTAAGTCATCAGACGTACGGAAACGAAGTGTAGTATGTTATCATATTTATGTAAATAATTGACAAAATACTATTATAGAGAAAACTAGGGTATGTCAAATTACAGTAATGAAGAAAATAAAAAATTACTGAAAATAAAACGATTAATTATATTATTTCACACGTGTCTTAGAAATTTTTTATAGATTCACGATACAAGTTTCGAGCTTAGAGCTTTTAAAAATTTTAAATATAAAGAATTGCTTTCGGATGTCGATTGAAAACAATGTTATGTTTAAAATTCAATATTTAAAATTGAACTCACTCTTCAAAGCCCAAAGTTTCTTCATGAGCAAGCCGTTGACGTATTGCTGCAGCTCCTCCCGGCACTGTCCAGTCACCGCGTGCTGCAGGTTGCGCCACTGGCTCACTAGAATCTCCGCGTCCACTATCCTCAGCATGTTCTCTATGCCCACGAACTCCGTGTGGTTCGTCGCCTCCGAGCTAAGGTTGCTCAGCTGCAACTTCGATTCGTTTAATGTATTTCGTATCGACTCCGTGAGTTTGGATAACACATCTTTGTTAGGCTTTGACGTCGTCTTCTCGATGTGTTTGGCCTTCACGATATGCTGCACGTTGTGAGCCTTCTCTGTGCTGGAGACACGTCTCTCCGGCTCCACGTCACCAAAAGCCTCCGCGAATGTGAGACCGTCCTCGTCCGCGAACACGTCCAAATTTTCCTCGCGTGCTTTATGATTTTTATTCCCATTATGAGATACAGATCCTACGAGATCTGAGTTGAGACTGTCGTCCTCTACGCCGCCCACTGCGGACGCTTGCTTGATGTTCTGAAAAGCGTCGATAAGCCCACTCCGGAGCTTCTCTTCTCGGGCATTTTCTTTGCTCGCACTCGAATTTAATTCAGCGGTCAAAACGCAGCTGGCACACAATAAAATCACTAGAGGAGACATTTTTGAAAAAAAAATTAAATATTTTTTTAATTCACACGCACATGGCTCGTCACTTATCGAGTTCGTATGTTTAGTCGTGGGTTACGGTGTGCGCGCGCGGCGACACGGCAGGCGCAACTGGCTCGCCGTCGGTCGCGCTGACATAACGCCGTTACGACGTCGTAGACTTTCACTGTCGGTTGCGGGCACCGGGCACTGGGAGACGTAGAGCAGCACAGTACGGTACCGCAGGTGGACCACGTCCTTGTAGGGCGTCGGTGCGCTTCAGTTCACTTCTCTTGTTAAGTAACTGCTCAAGTATGTTATTATATTTGATTAATATTCGGCTCGACGTATATGTATGTACATGCGACCTTACTGTTGATACAAGTATCTAAAATATTACGCATTAAGTACATTGCGTTAGTAAACAGACTATTGCGTTGCCTATTACTATATTGTAGAGTTATTTACACTTACAGTTTTAGGTCAATATTAACTTAGAATCTGAACAGGAGTACATCAAAAGAAATAATCTGTGTAGTTATGAGTTTCTTACTTTGTTATTTTGCAGTCTATCTGTTACATAATTTTAAATGTTATATACGACTACGTATAGCTTTAAGATGCGCCGTTTCCATATTTTCATATAAGGTATTATTATCATGACTAAAGCTTAAGATGATTTAAGTTTAACATTCGTTGGAACACAAATTTCCCGCGTTACGCAATCAGATAATATTTGAGAACGTGTTATTTAACACGTTAGCTGCCAGAAATTAGTATAAATATTAATTTTCTTCATAAATTCCGTTTTTTATTTCTATTCTTTTCTGCCAGTGACTAATTAAGAGTAAACGTCATCCATTATGATATAAATATGCAGTTAGATAACCGAGCACGTAGTGGCTGGGTCAAATGTTACGGGCCAACACTTTCCCTCCGCAGAGGGGGGAGGGCGCTTCCGTCGCAAAGTAATAACGCGGCCGTATGTAATGTTTTATATCGCTTAGTTCATCAAACAAAAGACATCGACGATTTAACTTAAATATAAGACGTCCTGAATAATCTTAATAAAAACAGTTTAATAGATTTTTAACCAAATTATCAGTTAACATGTCCAACAATTTTAACAGCTTGGCTTTAATTTTTAATCATAGATATTGGAATTCTTTTTCTTCAAAGTTCAGATGTTTTCTTATCGTAATATCTTCAGTTTGTCATATTTCAGCTTAGTACAATTTTGGGGATAATTTTTTTCTAACATTATGTATACATTAATTGAAGTAAATAAATTTTAACGAACGTTTAATTTTAATGTAAGCCTGTATAAATGCTACATAAGAAGATTTATTTGTTAGAAAGTGGGTTTTTTAAATTTAATTACTGTAACTTTCGTTTGTCCGTACATTTAGTAGGCGCCGCGCGTCGCCTTGCCGCGGACATCTCTTGTCTTTGACCCACATTATGTTTCCTGTTTTCAATATTAAGATGAATAATGAAAGCAATTTTCTGGGAAATTATTCAATTTACGATTACATTGAAATTGTTTAGAGGTTGTAATGAATACAAAGTCCAAGGTAAGGTAATTTCACGTGTACTTCGGAAGGACTCCGTCATGTTTATTTATTATTGATAATAGTCTCGAAATCTATACATAATTAACAAATATTATTTCAACCTGGTATTGGTATGAAATGTCAATTCAATTTTCCTTAAGGTTTAAATAATTGTGACAAAAATGGCAATTTCTTTACTAAAGTGGGTGATGTATTGTTCAAGAAAATAGGTCGTGGATTGTCACTCAATAGTACGATATTTTTTATGTGTTTCTATTCTATGTATATCGACCGTATGTATGTATGGCGAAGAAACGCGGAAGAGCCGATGCGTGTGAATATGACTTTATCTCGACCGACAGAAAGTAATACAATGGGACAATGCGAAATCCCTTGCGAAACCGCGACAGCCTATTATTAATTGCTGTTACCATGCTCGTGTCGGAAAAATGTAGACATTTTTAATTACTTTGATTTGATTTTGCAAATAAAATACTGACCAGTAATAATTTATAGGAAACCAGCATTCGCACGTGACTAAAAAAAAAAACAATTTCAAAATAGGCTATGTGATCTTCAAGGCTGTATTCTACATATATGACAAATTTCATGGAGATCCATGGAGCCGCTCTGGAGATACCTTCTTTCATCCAGCTAAACATTCGGATTTAAAATATTAGTAAAAGTAAGATGAATATGCATAAAATTTATATCTTATTTATTTAAAATTCGCTTTTTTTTATTTTTTTAATATAAGGCAAGATGTGAATGGTAAAAAGTGTGTATTACATTAAAAGTTGCGTTGACTTTGTACCGGAGAGTCCGAATGAAGTAAAAGTTATGGTGATCCCACCATTATCTATTCACTGGCACACGCTTCTACTTACATAATACCTTATCTGTGTCAAACGACCTGGGAGCACACGCGACGCGACACCGCACCGTCCGCCGGTACCGCTAGTTCATCTTACTACTAATATTATAAATGCGAATGTTTAGATGAATGGATGTTGTCTGGAAGAACACATACATCAGCTACTATTGTTTTTATTACACGCGGACGGAGTCGCGGTCGAAAGCTAATACATTCAATAGACTCTTTGATACGATCAACCGAATTGTCGAGTCATCGTAAATATCTTAGTAAGATTTCATTGCTGAAAAATTCACTTATGTGAATTATTTCCTAAAATATATTATCTGTGAGAGATGATATTCAGACACGTAAAGCCTATTGTAAAAATAACACACATTTAAGTATTTTCCGCGGGAAAACTGTTAAACGACAACTTCGTAATTTGTATGGACGTAATATTTGTATAACACAACAAAAAATGTATTTACTTCCTATACTATTTAATATTCTACTAGCACTTCGACAAAACCTTTTAAATATTTCAATTATTTATCAAACATACATTACTTGTATATTTATAATGTTTATTTACGACAAGGTCGAAGCGATCTGGTTATTTGATAAGTATAAATATTGCTGAACGGCAAAACGCTGCCTCTAAGCCTCTAGGTATCGCGCTCACTAAAATATTAATTGACGTTAAGGCCAACTTAGTAAATGATTGGACAACCTTTAAAACAGAAGGTGCAAAGTTGGCAATATTGGGTGCATATTGATAAAATAAAATTAACATTTTTCTTATGGTCACTTTTATTAATCATTTAAAAAATAACCACAATCTAGATAAATCTTGCATTTCAGAATAACATGACATATTTACGAAATTACGGTAGCCAGTACTTTTTATAATTATTCAAGTAAGCAAAATTGCTAAAAATCTTGCCGACCTTGTGCGATATGAGAACAAGCACAGTTGCCCTTCCGTATTAACTTATTACTGTCCACTACAAAAACAAATAATATTTAAAAAAACTATTTGATGGCAATAATACTGGCTGAACATAAAATTGAACGAGTTTGTATATCAGATGTCGCCAAACCTCATCACTCTAAAATAACGGAATTTTATTCAACTTTAAATGAAAGTGGCCGAGTAATTTGTATTCAAAACGTAAGTATTCGAATATGAAGCGAGAAAGTGTATTTTGTTATTGACTACCCCTTATCTATCAATATTGAATATCAGGAAATACGAGAGGTATCAATGACTACCGAAAGAAAATATCTTTAGCCACTGAGCATATTATAAATCGGTCAACTTTTTACCTTGCTCTATATAATTTGTAAGAAAGTGTAGTTTATACTAAAACAGCAAATTAAGTTCAATCGGAATAGCGTAAATGGATAAAGTTCTAAAAAGCATTTTTTCTAAGATTTTTTTTCTCCCCGTGAAAATATTTGTATAGCTTAATTAACGGAGGGTTTTAAGCTTAATCTGGTTCACAAAAAATGGCATTTTTTGTTTATTTAGCCATCAGCTAAATCCAGTAACGTGCACATTTTTTTTTCTTGACTAAAGTAAGACTCTGGTAATTTTGGACTTGATAGCGGGTGCGGTGGCGTGAAACAAGGTGACGTAACGCTGCTCTCGATTTCTTCGCCGCAAGATTAAGAAAGACCCCCTCTCACCGCTTGCCCCCCTTGTGTCCCAGGCGACCGCGCGCTCTGGTTTCTGGTACCAGATACCTTTATCGATCTACCATAGAGGTTTCACGCACTTTTTTTTTTAACTTAATAAGGATAGTGTAATTTTACCCAACATACACGACAACGCTATGTATAATAATAACTATATTATTTTTTTTGCCGGTTTCCTTTTGTAGACTTTCTTTCTTTGGCATGAGTAATTTTTACACAAAGTTGCACAGGAAACCTGCAATTTTTCATCACGTCCAAAATTATGAAGCAACGAAACGTACTTTTAAGTTTTACGTCGTGTCGAAACATCACGCTAGTCCGTAAGGGTGCGGTTACACAAGCGACTGTGGCGAAGTAACTGCAAGTCACCGCGTTATCCAACAGCTGACAGCGAGCTAATGATATGCGTGTGGAAAGCGGATTCGCAAATTCACTATCTAAAAACAAATTGCGATATCGCTGACCGTGCCTTTGACACGATACTGTAATACTTCTACATATGTAACAGACCCGGCCTTTTGACCTAGTGCCAAGGCCCCACAAACTCTGTAGATTGAGGTGTTAAATTACTGTTTATTAAATGTTATTAGTAATAAGGTATAGTGTATCTGCAACTTGTGGAGGGTTATTACTGACCTAAGTATTGATTTGACAACAAGATTTCGTATAACAAGAACAGGTTGATTTGATGTTGAAATAAAATCGTTTCAACATTTCCAGAGAAAGGAGGAAAACTTGGACACTACTAACCCTCCTACATAAATGTAGAGTGACTCTGGTGTTAACTGCTGAACGCTGTAGTTGGCATCTGAAGCCAACATCTTAGTGGATATTGTTGTCTTCGTTCTTCGTCGAATATTTCGTTTGTATACCACAACACTGGGTTATACGCTAAAGAAATCTTTCACGTAATATATATTCCAGATCGAATTTCATAATAGTATGTTTCTACGAAAAAAATAATTAAAATGTCATTAAGAGCATACGGTAACATCGATGACTTTGCAGTTTTATAATCTCGAGACGGGCATTTGAGCAGGGCAAAACCCAAATTCCGCCTTCGCGAATATTTCGAAACACGCCTCGCGCTGCAGCGGCCTCAAGCGGTGAGAGGGGCGCTCATTTATATTTGTTATGAGGAAAAATTTTTAAATATTTAACCTTTGGAAATGAGTTTTTAACATTTTAAAACCATTTAAAACAATAGCTTATTTCTTATTGAGGTCAAATAACATTGCGCAAAGTGAATATGGTTTTCTCATAGATTTGACTGACACAGTAAAGTAGGTATTATTAGTTACTGAAAACTATTTTGCTACGATAGATTGCTAGGCGTTAACTTGTAAAGTAGATAAAATAGGCGACAATATATAGAATCGAAAAATAATACTATATAAATTACTAGCGGACCCGACAGACGTCCTGTCTACACGTCTTTAATTTGAATAAATTAATATGAAGTTAATATTTGATGAAATTTCTCTAAAAAAATATAAAAAATCTAAACCATTCCCAGATCCCCTTGAACACACACAAAAAATTTCATCGAATTCGGTCCAGTCGCTTGAGAGAAGTTCAGTGACATACACACTCACAGAATTATTATATATATAAAGATTAAAAAAAATATACCTTTAAGAGAATATATTTTATCTACAATTAAAGTACCTATTTTTATTTTATCTACGAAATTAAGTTTGACATACGTCCGCTGTCATAATTTTTTTAAATATAAGCTGTCAAATGTGTGGAATGATTTCCGCCGATTTGCGCGGGCAAAATATTTTATTTAACCCATTTTTTATATAAAGCCTTAATAAAAAACAGTGAAACAATAAAAATCGATCGCTTGACAAATGTTGTTGTAAATATTTAAAAGAAATAAAGAATTTTAGACTCAATTCGCATTGTTAACATATAAACTTATTCTAAACATGTATTGATTTTTTGCTTTGGTTCAATGTTTAGTGCCATATAATCCTTCTAAAGATTTTATAGACAATCAGTGAAGCGAACGAGCTGATACATCCTCGTTTATGTACGCTTTTTGTCTATATATCGTGTGTAAAGTGGTGTTAATATAAATGGCTAAACAAATAGCAGAAGTGCAAATCCATGCTACCGATACTGACAACCGGGTGGAAGAGGAGAATCTGGATGTCAGTGTCGACCTTATTGACGACAACCTTTACTTAGGCAAGTATTTACCCTATGTCATAATAATACTGTAAAATTAACCTTTAAGTTTTAAATACATATAGATTTTCACAACTTTGTAGAGCATTGGAACTGAATTTGATATCTTTATAGGTAATTTAGCATGTGCTCGAGATGAAAAATCCTTGCAGAAGCTGCAGATCTCCCACATCCTGACCATAGACCTGGTGCCCCTGCCCAGGTCTATACTGGACAGACCTAATCTCACATTTAAGTTCATTAAACGTAAGTAAATTGCCTGTGTAATTTTATGACCAATAATAATTCATAAAGCATTTAGCTGGATTTTACAGAGATTTTCTAGTGTTGCTTTACTTACATGGGTTTTGAAATACTAATTCTGCTTTATGGAAATGTACCTGTAATTTGTTGATACTCAGAACAGATTGAGAATGTTTCCATTTACTGTTGCAGTAGCTGATGTACCCAAGGAAGACCTCATCAGTCAACTGCCAGACACAAATGATTTTATAAAAGAAGCCATAAGCAATGGGGGCGCCGTTTTAGTTCATTGGTAAATTATATTAATATTTATATTACAGACATTATTTTAAAGGGATATAATGAATATCAATATTATGCAGTACTATTATAATACAGCTTTCAAACAGTGGAAAAGTTGTTTAAACATATAATGAATATGGTAAATTGCAGATAATATTGGACAATTATTGTCAATATAATTGTACTATTAATAATATGAAAAAAAGAATTATAAAGAAAAAAAATCTCAACCATAATCATTTTGTGCTTGCATTAAACATACAACTTTTGGGACTAATGCAATAAAAAATATATTCAGCCTTGGCTATACAATAATATTTTTTTCAGCTACTTCGGAGTATCAAGATCGGCTGCAGTTGTTATAGCGTATATAATGGAGAAGTATGGCTTGTGTTATGAAGATGCCTTCACTCTTGTGAAGAGCAAGCGACGTTTCATCGGACCCAATGTTGGTTTTGTAGCACAGCTTAAATTATTTGGCCATATGGGATATAGAATTAATAGAGATGACCCAAGGTTCAAGCAGTTCAGGTTGAAAATGGCTGGACAGAAACTTAAACAAGGTAAAATACTATTAACATTATTTAACATAAACCTTTTATATCCATTGATTGGTAATACATTCTATTATTGGGAGAGATGTTTCATTATTCTTTTCATACATTTCTTAAGCAAACAAATGAGTTCCGCAAAAATAAAAAAGTACCTTAGTCCATAAACAATAAATTTTTTACCACTTTAATTTTCAGTGAAAATCATTCCACAACTATTTGCTGATCTTATAAAACCAGACCCAGGGTTGGTTCGCGAGCGACCAGACCCTATCGTATACCGTTGTAAGAAGTGTAGGCGTGTCGTCGCTAGTCAGAGCAACATCATACCACACTTACCAAAGCAAGTCAAAGTGGAACTAGCCAAGAAAGGTATACGCCCACCACCAAGTAAGCTGACCGGGATAAACTGTGCGGAGAATGGGCAGCTACTTATAGAGAAACTGAAGAGTCTGGCCTGTCAGATTATGGATCAGACTATAGAGTGTGAGGAGTCAAGTGATTCAAACTGTTCAGCACAAATCTTGCAGGATGGTGATGAAGGTACCAGTCAGGTAAATGAATCAACAGTAATAATATAGCAAAATTTGGCAATAGAACCTTAATGTTGTAACAATCAAATATATTGTATCAGGTTTTGGACGGATACACAGAGGGCAATATGGTGGATTCAAGTATAACAGCTCGTGGGGATGAGCGCAGCTGCCGGCTGGTGTGGTTCGTGGAGCCGATGGCGTGGATGCGCGGGGTGGCCAGCGAGCCGCACGGCAAGCTACACTGCCCCAAGTGCCACAACAAGATTGGCAGCTTCAGCTGGATCATGGGTTGGTACTATACTACAATAGGGATGAAAACTGTCTTTTCCTCTGTATAAATGTCAGCATGATTAAGAGTGGAAGTAGACCTAAATATACCACATATATACAAAAACACTAATTTATATTACAAAGTACTTTGTAGACTGGACCCATAGGAATAACTACTGTGACATTTTCCTCAAAAATTCAAAAATATTGTTTTTTTAAAGAATACTAGACATTTATTTCAGAAAAAGTGAACGAAAATACATATTTTTAATCCTTAGAGTGACATGACAGAGCCTGCTCTACGCTTGCGCTACTTAGAACTTTTAAGTTTTTCTCGCCATTAATTTCAAATTCAAACACTTATTAAATTGTAATTAATACTGCAAATTACTATACGTGGGAACGTGCTGTTAGTGCTTATTTTATAATACAAAATGCTAAAACATGTAATATGGTATTTTATAAATATTCTTGTTTCCGTTATACATTTACTGTTGTATGTTTGCAGGTTGCAAATGTCCGTGCGGTCAGAAAGTTGCTCCCGCATTTTATTTGGTGCCTTCAAAAGTGGAATGGTCTAATATCGTGCAAAACGTACAAATTACTGTTTAAAACAATATTTATACTGTATTAAAAAGCGTTTTAGTAGACAGATTTGTCATGGCTGAAAGTCATAGCGTGTTCTAGATTTATTGTTTACCTTATTAATGACCTTTTACAAATTAATTAAATACATAGAAGTTGCTGGTAGATTTGTTACATAATTATTATTAGTCTTGTAAATGTCAAATTAAATTATTTACTTGTCCGTTTCTTCATTAAATTACTTGGAGTATATATTTAATAGATCATGTTATTTATTTACATTGTTGTAACATGTAAAGATTAAAAATATAACATAATGTATTAATTGTTTGTCTAAGCGTAATTCGATTATATTACGTCAGAGGGCGCCACTAAAAAAGGTAAAAAGTTACCGGCACACAGTGGCGCCGTGATATTTTATTTCTCTATTTTATCGAGTGTGTTTTGTTATTTTTTCAGTAAAAACGTAAAAACGAGTGAGTAACAATGAACAGAGAATAGTGTGTTGTCCTTACTAATTATATTTGTTAAATCGTAGTGTGTTGTATATATGTTTTGTTAAGTTATCATCATAATTCTATAATAAACATTAATTGAAGAGAACGATGCTTTTATTTTGAACATTGTTTTCTTTAGTAAATAAAATATAACCAAATATTTGCATTTTTATGCAACATATTGCAAAGAAATATCTAAAGCTCTGTTAGCTTACAATCTTACATACATCCTTAATTGATTATTCTTAACATGTTAATCTAAGAGAGATAATATATTTTGATGTAACACAGATAAAATATAATTTTTTTATAGAGTATACTCTAATATCTAGATTAGTTGTATCATCCTACATTTTACATTACATTCAGATTTTTCAAAAAATCTGGTAACAAGTATAATATCTACTTTCATTTAATGTAATAGCTTTTGAAACCTATCATTACCTTACATTCCTATGTATAGACAAAATCACATATACTTTACTACAGTTTACGGGTATTTACAACTATATCCAACTACCCTTACTGTTGCCTACGGGTATACGGGTAGTGGTGGCATTGTGGAGTGCAGTCTCAAGGTGTGTGCAGGATGCTATGTGTAGGTGTGTGCGGGGTGCCATCCCCATGTGAGTGTGGGGTTTAAATATGTTTGGATAGTTGCGGCTGGTACGGGGTGCCGTCCCTGCTGAGACGAGGGATTTCATGGAGCGCGAGACCGTGCGCGCGCATGAGATGCGTCTTGCGCTTCCAGCTGTCGGAGAATGCGCGCTGACATCGCCCGCACTGGTACGGCAGCTCGCCTGTGTGCGTGCGCATGTGACGCGCCTGTAGGAAATATAACAGCTTTACTTACTTAAATCACAGAATAAAAATCCTTTACTGATGTATAAAAAACTAAACTAATATAATAGCCATTGGTTATATTAAGATTCTTATAAGAATTATGTATTCATTTTCAATATCAACTGCTTAAGTCCTAATAATGCCTATATGTCCTAATATGGTCTAAATGCCCACTTATGTTAGACGAAGACTAAGCACTAACCAACTAGGCATACAAACATTATTAATATGACGATCACAGCCGCGCCAGTGGCCGTTGGCAGATGCGCTAGTGAAAAGGAATAATGGACACTTAAAGTTAATCATGTGTAGTACATACCAGAGCACTAGAGTCCTTGCACTGCTGTGAGCAATGCGCACAGAGCAGTGTTGGTGCGGGTACTTCGGGGCGGTGTCTGCGGGCGTGCCGGCGCAGCGCAGCGCCTGCCGCCGCACGGTACTCGCACTCCCCGCATGCGTGTGGCCGACATCCTGTGTGTCGCCGGATGTGCACGGACAAGTTTCCGGCTGAAAAACAAGCATAGATACAATAGTAAATTATTATTACTTCAAGTACATGAGAGAGGAGTCTCCATATTATCAAAATTAAAGTAAACATACCCTGTGCAAACGCCCATCCGCAGTAGTTGCATAGGTACTGCTTACGCCCTTCATGAACGTTCATATGGCACTTTAATATACTTTTTAGTTTAAACCTAAAACATATAATTTAATTTTAAAATTAAAAAAACATCTTTCCCACTTATCATTTAGAAGCCAAGAAAAATAATAAATATATTACTTTTCAAAACTTAAATTTGGACATTACATTAAAGTAATGTGAGAAATATATAAGTTAAAATATATTGACCTCTTTTGACATTTATCACAGCAGTATGGCCTTTCATCGGAATGTGACCGTACATGTACGGTCAGTTGCTTCAATCTCTTGAACGTCTTATTACACAAATTGCAGCCAAACTTGCGCTCATTCGAGTGGGTTGTGGCATGGTATGCCAGCTGAGATGGTTTAGTGAATGCTAAAAATGTAATTACAAACATAATCTAACATCAAACAGTCACTATAAGTTGCGAGTTATAATAAATACTGCATTGGCAGATTAGTATAGTATTAGTACCCTGACATAGTAATAACATATAATCTTATCATAGGTTTTCAATGCCATACCCATTGTGGACAGGTGCTTTGTCATCGGAAACCCATAAAGCACCTTCAAGATAAAACTCAAATAATTTGCATAACAAACAGTTAAATCATACATACTTTTATTACATTGTGTACAGTGGTATTCTTGACCAGAATGCTCCTTTTCCATATGCTTAGCAAGCCACACCTGAGATGTAAAACTTTTTTTGCAGGTAGTACACATATGTTTCTCATCGCCAGCTTGGTTTTTGTCATGTTTTATATCTTTTGACTCTACATTAGACTCAGGTGGATTGTTGATCAAATTTTGAGTTTTTGGATCTGGAGGAATATTATCATTCGTTAAATCTATAGATTCATTTGTGTTATTTATTAATAATGGTTCCTCAGAGCTCTCTATTGTACTAGATAGCTTATAATCAGGCAGTGTAAGATTTAGATGATTTTTTGAAGTAGATGGTCCCGTTGTCGGCCTGGTGCTGTTTTCTAACTCGACAATTATACTTCTTTCTCTTCTTGACACCATGTTTTTCAAAGTAACATTTACATTTTGAGCCTCCTTAATAAATGTGTATGAAGACTCAATTTTTATTACGCAATCATAGCAGAATTGCTTTGGTAGTTTGTCCCCTTCAGTAATCTACAAGGTTAAAGAAAATTGGTGTGTATATTCGTATACTAAAATTAGTATAAAATGGATTTCTTTCATTAATTCTTGGGTAACAAATTCGTACAGATTTAAATACCACATTTATAGGAAACTTTACAAAAGTTTAATTTACATAATGTGAATACCTCAATATTTGTGGAAAAACAAAACATTTTCACAACTTGCGCATCAAAATTTTCCTTTTCCCAAGACGCGACTTCTTTCTTGCAACTTCGACATAATTTTGTAATATCCATTGCCATTATTGCATCAACTGACTTCGATCTTTGTTAGGAAGTCGGTTTAAAATAAAATTATTAATTATTAATACGAAAAGATTTCTCTAAATATGAGAATCAATCAATAAATGAGAAATGGCAATTATGTTTTGATTTTGTTCTTGAATGGAGCAAAGGTTCACATCAAACAGCCAAAAGTGTCACCCGCTTTACACTACAAAAAAAAAACAATAAAAGTAAAGTATTTTTCCCTATTAACTTTAATTTAATTATTCAGACCCACTCAGTGATATATTTCCCATAACTTAAAATAATTACATATAATAGTTATGCTTGCAATTATTTTTTCTTAATGCGCCTGTTAAATTTGTATACGCAATACAAACTTTACTATTATTTTTTTCATGTAATTAAGCTTTAGTTTAATCAATAATTAACTACAAATTATAATGTGTAACATCTTATTATTTCAAACGAATAAAAAATATAATTATTTAATAATAAGTTAAATTGCAGACTATAATACAATGGAAGAATAAAGCGAAAGGACAAAAACAAAACCAATACATTTCAAATTTTAAAATATTCTATTTTGAAGGTCACGAAAATTCCATCTATATATATCAAGGATTCCCACTTAATTTAAATATGGGCTTGCTCTTTATAACACTTTCGTGCGAGTGCCAAGCCCTTTTGTTGTAATCAGTTTCATATTTAGTAAAGGCCCTCCGGCTGACATCGACCATGCATTCACAAACTGACATGTAACCGACTAATCGTGTTCGTTTGTCCCTTGACACTAAAACTACGCGTCCACTTTTTTGGCGTCTCCTAGGAAGGCGCGCAACGCGTCTATGCCGGTGTTGGTGAGGGGCGACGCCTCGAGCAGCGCCGGCGCGTTGGCCAGCTCGGAGCACAGCCGCGAATACTGCAGCATGAGTAACGCTTCGTTACGCATCTGTCGATACGCTGCGTCCATCTTGCTAAGCACTAGAATAAACTAAGAAAGGTTTTATTTGAGTTTTTGTGTATGAAGACAATATCAATTAGTGGTAAACTAAAACCTTTGATCTGCGAAGCTTAGGTTCGGCCAGTAGAGTGTACAACATAACCGCGGCCGCCGATATTTGACACAAATTCGAAGTGTCCACCACAAAAATTACCTGCAAGAGAAGAGAATAGATAATAAAATTTTCGTCGTTAGATTATATTTGTCTACACCGTGGGGGTCGGGGTCTACCCAAGTTAGGTTGGTAAGGACTAGGCTTTATTAAAAAATAAAACATCAGGCGATGTAAAAGTTATTTAAAAATCCAGTTTACGATTTTAAATAATCACAACTTCAATGTTTTTACTTACCTTTTCAACGCCTTCTAAATAATTATTCCACAATGTTACCATTTCCCCGCCGATTTCTCTAATAGACAGCACTTGCTTTTTACCTTGTTTGTTAACATAATTAATATCATATATATTAGTTCCGATAGTTGGCACCGGGCTGTACGTATAATCAATGCCTTCAGCCTGCTGTACTTTCTTCAATAGAGTAGTTTTTCCCGAACCTTTGGGACCAACGCAAAGAACTGGTATCTTTTTCTCTAAATCGTCCATGATTAACTTATTCTTAATATATTTTCTGTTAGATCAATATCATTTTGTCATGGAAATAATTTTGGTCTCGCCGCTCAACACAAGATGGCGCTAGTTGAAAATTAGTATCTGTTTTTAATACACAATTTTAAATAACGTCATATTATAAGCTGGTAAATTATTTTATTTACAGGCAAACCTACGCATTTTCCTAATATACTTTAATACTGGTTAACTCTACGTACTTAAGAAGTGAAATAATTATAGACAGATTCATGTTTATGTTCTGTAAATTAAAACCTTGTTTAATAATGTATAAATTAACGTTAATTTTTAAGCATACGTCAGCTGTTTAAATAAACACTGCACTTGCGTCGCGTAGCCTTGTTTTTGCAATTGCGCATCGTCATATTCGACGTAATTTTTTGTTCTTCGACTCATTTATAAATAGCTTATAAATATTCAACAACTTTCGACAAATGAGAAACTTATGGATTTACTAACGTTTCAATTTCATAATTTGACATAAACAAGATAACGAGAAAAAAATTGTATCAACCATTTCACTTACTTAACGTGTCAGTTTTTGTTCGTTTAATTTACTGTCTGTGGTTATTATATTCAAGTAAATTGTAAGTCCACCAAACATATCTGCTTCGTTGGACATATTTGAAACTGTCCAGTCATGTTTTGTATGTCATTTTCTATGTAGAAGTAGGCGAGATAACAGCGCCATCTACCAGGCACTAAACTTATATCTATAGAATGAGTGTTTGAATTTCAACTGTCAAAGTGCCTTAAAACTTTGATGGCCTTGTTAGATCCGCGGCGGCAGGCGGGTGGGCATCTACGTGTGCTTACGGTGACCAAAAATTAGGCTTATAGTAAGGTTAGTCCCGGATAAAAATTACTACATTAGTGAAACGGATGACGGAGGATTCTTAATTTCGTTTTGTATCGTAAGAAAGGATACATTTTTAAAATCTTGTCAGTTTACTATCTAACTAAATGTACGCATAGCAAGAAGTAAATTTAATTTATTGTGTAATGTGTAAAAATTGACAATGTCAAATCATATCGTATCTTCAACTGGGCTAATTCAAACTATTTAATTTATATCATAATTATATATAATTAATTAATAATTCCAGTAATATTAGTGAGCGCATGGCGACCGTGTGTGCTCTCCTCAAGTAGTGTGGGTGTAGCACTCTCACAGTCAACTGTACGTGCACTTGTCTGCGGCCGCTCAAAAACTAAGCAGCCTTAAACTTGGCTTACGTAAGAGCTGCCCAATGCCGCGCCAGCGCTAGTGTAGCCTGCGCTAGTGATGTGACATTGTCGATACCGCTGCTGATAACATTTGTTCTTCCTATTTTGTAACTAAATGGAAAATTCCTCGTAACTTCCAAACATATTTTTATTATTGTTTTGATAGTTGCTCCGGTATTACGAGGTGACGCAATCGAGTATTTGATCAAGGTTATCTAATTGAGATTACACTCTGAATATCATAAGGCATTGATATTTTTACATTTATTTACTTTAAAATTATATATATAATTATAAAAGTGTGATTTTTAAATATCAGTAAATTGAATAACAACCGTTTAATAAATATAAAAAATATGTTGATTAATAAATGGATAGTAAGGTGGCCCCTCTCTACACGTTGTCAGCGTGTGAGTCGGATCGGAGAGGTTAGCAACTGGTAAAGCCGCGAATTTGGGCGCGCGGGGCTGCGTAACTAGGCCAGCGCACCCTTGACCCACTGACTCACTGCCAGCGACGCCGACACCGACTGCCCGCTATTGTTTTTCAACAATCAATAAATAATACACCGAGTAAAACTTCGTGTTCGCACATTTGCGCAACGGTCGTCTTGTCGTCCCGCGGACTACTTTAAATTTTTTGCGCCGTTTTCAAATTTGTTCATATATTTAGGTCACTTAAATCCGGCCTTAAATAGTTATAAATATTGATGTACGGCGACCTTCGTGCTAAAAGCTAAACCAGTGAGTGCATTATTATTTGTGCAACGGATGTTACAAACTCTAACGAAGGCAATACTGTTTAAAAATAATAATATTTTAGTTCGCATGATGCTCAATGTTTTTTTTTCGGTTAAAATATAGTCAAGGTTATAGTTGGTTGTTGACCTTGTGCTGTGAGGTATTGGCTCTCGCCGTGAGCCGCGAGCCGCGCGGGGAGTAGCTAGCTACGATTATTTAAAAACAATGTAACGATCCGTGACCTTACTATTGTTGGATTAACTTAAAACGTTAACGAATCACACTTATACGACGCAGATCATTTTCATTGTCAGAGATTGTAGTGCAATGTAGATGTACCTATACCAGTTATTTTAATTTGTACGCCGCCATTACAAAAAAAAAATTAAAGGCGCTGACAATCATAACCTATGCATACTTGAATAATTAAAATAAGTATTAAACATATTTGTCAAGCTCTCGTGTTGTGCTGTGGCCACATGAATTATAAATTAAATAAATACATATAGCATTGCGGCGGGCGCGGGCGCTGCGATGGCCGCCAAGAGAGGTCGGTGGGCTGCACACCGCACGCTGCCGCAACCGCGCCGCAGTCGCATCGCAGCCGCGCCGCACGGATCCCTGCGTGGTGCGCGTGTTCGAGCCCACGATATGTGCAATTATAAAACAAAGTTTCTAAACGTTTCGCGAATGCCATTCGATGTTATGACGAATGGCTAAAATTGCCTTCGAATAGGATTTTTTGTAGGCCAACGTTTTGAAACGCGCGTTTATACTGCAGCGTGATTACTCATATCATTGTAGAGGAAAATTATAAATATCTACAAACAATATTTTTATAATTGTTTTGTCTACTAAGCAATGAATAGTTTATTGTGCTATAGTCTTACTATTATTTTAATTATATTTTCAAATAGTAAACTTTGAAGCAAAATACTAATTTCTATCAAGTTAAAACAGTAAAATAATAATTTCCTTTTATATATTCCTTATTTCATGGGTTCCTTAATGTCAGATATCAAACACGAAATATCGCAAGGATTTTTTTAATTAAAAACTTAAAAGCTCTGAAATATTCATAGCATACACCCCTGTATGGTCTTGCCTTTTGAGCATGCGTTCGGCTTCGTCCACTTCAGATTTATTTTTGGCATAACGTTTCGTTTTAGCATTAAAATTGAAAGTAATGTAATATCTGGCTCTAACATGGGTGAGCGCTTGACCTCAATCTCGCTCTGAAAAAGAAACTCAAACGCTTCGGTATCAAGCGAATTTTTATTTTTTTGAGATCTCATTTTCGGTTAGCTTCAACGCTTTATAAATCTTTTGTTAGCTTTCAAGGGAACTTCGTTTGAAATTTCGTAACATTGTCTTCAGATCTATTGTTATTTTAACCTTAGTAAGAGCTAATCTTAAGCCATAAGTACTTTATGGCTTGGAAAATTGAACATTGCTTAGTCAAAGTGTAGCAATTGAATTTGGAAGTTTCTAGAAATAAAAACTCTAATTTTTAGTACTTTTTTTTGTTCTGTTGTAAACTTAAACTTTGTTTACTTGTAAAATATTTTAAACATAAAATGTCTCTTATTTAGATATATTATAACTATATAGTTAAATTTGTTAATTACTTAATTTCTAAACGATTTTGCATTATTTCTGGCAGTCGATAGCGTCATGGCGGCAGGCGGCACGTCATCGTTTCACTGTCACTTTCTGTCACGCGACGCGCGCGCCAAAAGTGAAAGGAGCGCGCGACTCCACCGCGCTGAACTATCCAATCCGCAGATTATACGCGGTTTATCACTAAATATCGTTTTTAATCTGTAACGATGTTATGCCTAACAAATGAAAAGTGAAAACATAATCCAAGTAATTTAAACTGAATGCTAACTTATTGGATACATTCTTTGGATATTTTGTATCGTGCTCACCTAATAGTAATTTTACTGCTTTTAGGTTAAGTGAAGGTGAAGTAAAGGTATATTTGCGACAGTAGCAAAGTTTGCTAAGATAAAAAGTAAATTCAAACGTTTTAAATGAAAGGTTCTTTAGTAAATTATGCGGTCCGTGAGTTCGGATCGAAATAACAAATGAAGAATTGGCAGTAAGCAGACAGCGGCGAAAGCTTCTGCCTGATGTCATGATGAGAATATGTCATACGAATGACATCTGTCGCGGCTGATCAGAATACGAGGGCATGTTCTGCCACATGCAAAATATTCAATGTTTTCCAAACCACTTCGTAACAAGTCTAGTTTGCCACTCTTTTTGTATGAATGGATGGATGTTTGTTAAAAGGCATCTCTGGAACGGTTCAACGGATCTTAATGAAATTTTGCATAGATATAGAAAATGGTATGGAAGAACACATACGCTACTTACTTAGTTTTTTTTAAATACCGCGAGCACGGACTCACGGGCGACAACTAACAAGCGACAAGCGACAAGTACCTAATATGATATAGTAATTTTAACAAATTTCCGGTCTAAAACTTAAGCAAAAGTGATGTTTGTGTACTGATTGTAAAATTCTGTTAATTTCGAGCAACACTTAAATTGTTTACCCTTTTAATTGAAATGTACGTACAATCATACCATAAGGTATATTAATATTATAATATTAAGCATTTTATTATTATACAACTTGCATATTTAGTGTAAAATCACGCGGCAAGTGCGTGTGTTGACATCATCAAGTGCGTGCTATGTCGAACAAACTGACTTAGCTATTTTTTGTCTGCAATTATTCGGCCTCAATGTAATAAGATACTTAAATTTACATACTACATTTTATTGAGTAAAGGACGTTAATAAAAAAAAGAATTCCTATTACTTTCTGTGGCGAACTTTTACTATACTTTCCCTGTACTGGCTGAATAGAAAAACACAGGTTAATGTGAAAAGAGAACAACAGCAATGATTTCATTTTCGATTGTCTACTCTTTGACGAACAAGCAAACGAAAAAAAACTGTCTAACCTAAAAAATTGAATAAATTGATTTGGAACCC